GTTCAGGAGGCAGTGTCTGGCTGTGGCTCTGCCTTGCAGGTCCTGTGCTCACCTGAAATTGTATGAAGGCTCCCTGAGGGGGTGGTGGTGTAGAACGTGGCCTTGCTTGCTGCTGCATAGGTAAAGGCCTTTCTAGTGAGGGCTCGGGGGCTGGAAATGCAGCTCCAAGACCTGCCCAAGGGCTCTTGCCATCTGCAGGAACAGACACCCATGCTTAAACTGCAGCCCTCTTGTGTACACCTGAGGCAGGGTGGAAGCAGCCACAAATGCTGTGCTGTCTATGGGGGCTGGAGCTGGCTTCTGTGGCTGGCTCTGGGCTGGGGAGATAAGCAAGTATTTGGCCTGGCAAAGGTCTCTGCTCTGGCTCAGGAGCAGGAGGAGGCTGGGTGCCAGCAGGAGAGGGGTAGGAGTTGGCTGATGAGAGCGGGGTGGCCTTGCCAGGTTGGACCTGCAGGGAGGACGTGGCTCTGGCACCCATCAGCAGAGGCAAGACAAGCACAGTTCTGACCAGCCCCAGTGTCTTGAGCCACAGGGCCCAAAATAAATGTTTTATTTAACAACATGAGAGAAGTTTTCCAGCAGACTCGGTTAAAAAAAAAAAGTCACCAACAACTGTACAGAAAGGAAGCTGGGCCTGCCCTCCCTGCCCCCCTGCCCAACCAGCGTGGGGCACGTAGGTAAAGTGCGGGGCTACGGGATGCGCCTGGGCTGGCTGCAGGGAGAGCTGGCCCTGGGGTCCCTCCAGCCTCTCCACCGTGCTCCAAGGTTAGGCAGCAGCTTTAGAAAGCCGGGGTTGACCTCCTCCTTGAAGCTCTGGCCTGAGGGCTGGATGCTTCATGGGGAGCTGGGCCAGCACCCGGGGTCTGGGTGAGGCTTGTCGCTAGGTCAGTGCAGCGGCGGTGGGGGGGTAAAACCCCCTTCTTTGCAGGGGGGGGGGGGGGGGGCGGGGGGGGGGGGGGGAGGAGGGAGAGGAGGAAGAAGAAGAAGGGGGAGGTGGATGAAGCTTAATTCGAGGTTTGCAGGAGATCTGTCCGGCTGTCCGTGTCTCCGTCTCTGCACAGCTTCAGGTCAGAGGGGGACGTGGAGGCTGGGAGCTCAGCCCCAGCCCGAAGAGGGAGGTGTCAGAGAAGTCGTACACTTCGGGGGGAGAAGGAGCGAAGAGCCTCGAAGCACCCGCAGCCCCAGCGGGGCCATTCTCCGCGCTGCCGGGTCCTGGGTGCCAGAGCCGCAGGCCATAGGGGAGCACCCTCACCCCTGCTCCCCTAAAGCTACGCTGCCGCTGGGTTCTGGGCTGTCTGGGGCACGCAGTGGTGGGACCGGGCCAGGGCCACGTAGCCTGGGGAGCAGTGGCAGGCGTCGGGTTTTTTTTCCCTCTGTGTTCTCGCAGGTGCCGCCCCGGCACAGGGGCTCAGGGCTGCCCACCTCCTCACACTCGTTGATGTCTGTGAGGAGAAGGACGGGGTGAGCTGGTGGCACAGCAAGCAGTCCAAGTCTGCAGCCAACATCTCCTTGTGCCCCTGCCACCTCCCTAGCCTTCCCCTACTGGTGTCCCACGACCCCCCCAGCACCTCCAGGATGCCCACCGTGACCCCACCAGCCTCCCACACCCCCAGCACATCTGCAGAACCCCCCTCAGCCCCAAGGGTGACATCCCCAGCATTTGGCATTTCCAGGACAGGAGGGAGGCCCCCCACACTAGCAATGCACACCAGATAAGGACCCCCCATGCTCTGCAGCTCATGAGACCCCCAGCTTAGCAGCTTCCTGCTAATGAATTGGGCTAGGGTAATATCTGGGATAAAGGCTGTCTCCAGCCTTGGAAAATGCCTTTTCCTGCTCTGACAAGGCTGGGGAGGCAGATGATGGTGGCCCTGAGAGGCTGATTATCACCTCCAGGACCAGAGCACAGAGGGACCTCACACTGCACAAACAAGGGCTTGTTTTATGAACCTGCAAACTATGCCAAAGGGCTCATTCAGCCGGCTCGCCACTGGGCTAGAGCCTGCACATGAATCCTACGGCAGCTACCCCGCTGCAGCGTCTGCTCTGCTAAATGCACTTCCCTGGACACCCTGCCTGAGGTACCCCAACTTGTGGTGGGGCCACCAGCTGGGCAGAGCATTCCTGTGCACCCCAGAGCCCTTGTTTGTACCCACAGGACATCCAGAGCCCAAATGCTCACCTGCCAAAGCAGGACCAAAACCTCTGACCACAAACTCCAGCCTCACCCCTAGCAGACCAGCAGGGAGCAGGAGTGGGGAGCAGCTGATGGGTTCAGTCAGCCAGCCAAGGGAGAGCAAAGGCCCTGGCAGTGACCAATAGACCCCTGGGACGGCAGGTTATCTTTAGCACCCTATGGAGGGGGCCATCTGGCAAAGAAAGGGAAATGCAACCCCAGGGAGGGAGGCTGAAAGCAAAACCTCCAGGTGTGATGGGAGAAAGCACAGCAGTCACAGGAAGAAGGAGAGGTGAAATGAGAAATGAAAGAGCCTGGGGAACAAGGCAGCCTTCATAACACAGCCAAAGCAGCAGCTAAACAGGCACTATAGGCTTGGGCTATCACCGTGGATGGGCTGGGCTTGCTCAGTGTGCACCAAGCCCACTCAGGCAGGAGTGGGGGCAGGCAGACCACCCTGTGGGGCAAGGGCAAGCTACCCCCATGGCAAAGAGAGAGGGGTTGCACTGCAGCAGCTGCAGGAGCACTCTAAAGGCCTGAAGTCAGCAAGGTAAAAACACAGGGATGACTAAGCATCACGTAAGAGAACTGAAGGAAAAAAGCCAAGACAGGCTCCAGTGTAAAATGAGAGCAAGTTAGTCATGGACAGGAAAGGCAACAAGCAAAGGCTCCACAAATATGTTAGCAGGAAACAATGGGGAATGTCGGTCTGGTCCTTATCAGCGGAGGAAACAAAAGCCAGCCGGGCTGGCTGGAGCAGCTAATGCAGGCTTTGTTCCAGCCATCATAAAAATGCTGGTGGTGTCCAGACAGGGCGCAGACCACGTTTGAAGTGCTTAAATGAGGGTGCAGGAGCACAAGCCATACTGTGATGTGAGGTTCGACAATCAAATAGATAAAGCAGTTACACCCATATTGCTAAAGGCTCGCTGCAACTCATCTTCACGTGCGTAATGCTCCTGCAGTCCCTGAAAAGTTGGCAGTTCTCTCCAAGATGAAGGACAAAGGAGGTCTCAGAGACATGAGGAAGGGTACATCTGGTAACTATCTTCAAAAACAGAGAAGGGAGAATGCAGAACTGCAGACTGCTCACCCCCATTCCCTTCAGCAGACCAGGTTTGTGAGTGATTAGGTCATAACCCTCCAAAGGATATCAGGGTCATTAAATAGTGCAGACCTGTGAAGGCCTGATTATGTTAAGCCAATCTAGTTCTCTTCGCTGACCTGATAACTGGTCTGTCAGATAAGGAAGACGCGGTGGTTATGATGTGCCTTGGCCACGGTGAGGATTTCAACACGCTCTCACATGACACACTGAGAAAATACGGTCTAGATGAAACCACAGCAATTGCACAACAGGCTGCAAGGCTGCACTCCACAGATAATCAGCAATACCTGGCTGTTACACTAAAGGCCATTTAAAGCACAGCCTGCAGGGGTCTGTGCTGGCCCCTACTTCATTCAATGTTGTCATTAAGGTGAGTGAAGGAAGAATCCCCGTGATTAAGAAACATATCTATGTGATGCCAGCACTCTTGGCAGGCCCTGGGGTTCAGGCTCATACTGATCAAGCAGAGAAGCGGTCCAAAATCAACCAGACAAAATTCACCAAAAGCAAGTGCAAAGTACTGCGGCCAAGGAAGGGGAAACAGTGCACAAATGCTGAAGGGCAGGTGACAGCTCAGGCAGCCATTCTGCCTGGCAGCATTTGGGGAGGCAGAGGACAGGGGTTCTGTATGAAAATGTGACCTGGAGTAAATGCTGTGTCTAAGGAAACAGGGGGGTCTTCATCTGCTCTGTTGAGGGCCTGGGGCCTCAGCTGGCTTGAGGACCTGCACTGTGAAAAGGATGGAGACATGGTGTAGGAGTGTAGAGGAGATGCAGAAAGAAGCTTTAGAGACCATGTCTCATAGGACAGGGTGGAAAGTGAGGAATTTCACCAGGGCAGTGGGAAATGTACAGGAAAGTAATCAGGGACAGAGTAACAGTAGCTGGTGATGTACAGGAGTGCTACACAAAGAA